TCATAGCTTAATTCTTTTTAAGCTGCACTACATTCAAGCTTCAGCTACACATAGAAATTAGTCGCATGCTTGTTAAGAGTAGGATCTGAGTGGAAGTAATATAAGACTTCTGGTGTCAGACTCTTGAGGTTGGTTTTCGCGGATGAAGCAACAGGGTGGTATGAACAGTGTCTCTGCAAGTAACTCTTGTATTGTACTTGTACTCGTAACTTAAGTTGAACACAATGAGCCATAAGGGCTACATTGCCTATGCTATATACTAAGTGAATGTCCTATGTCCTATGTTGTCCTATGTTGTCCTATGTTGTCCTACGCGTGGTACTTTGTGGGATTGTATGGGATGCGTGGGACACACGTGACATGTCCTACGGTGGCGTTCCGCCAAGCCTGTGGGACGTGGGGTTACTGGTGCGTCATTGGTGGTAGTCCTTTGAAAGAGGTCGTAACATGGGCTTCATCCTTCCTTCTTCACATATCTTGCGCAGTGTCCCTTTCCTAGGTTCGTAACAATGCTATAGCAGTAATAATTCTCTACATACTACCCACAGATATACTTCTAGCTCAGGTGCCTATTGTAGGTAGAGAGGCCTACCTAGTAAGTATGCTCTCACCTATTACAAAGAATAAGAAAGAGAGAGAGTTGAGCTATTGTATAATACCCGTGTTTCATAATCTTGCCTACTCACTTTATTAGAGATACATACGGTCATGTGATTGTAAGCTCACGTGACTTGTTATATCACCTTCTAGTAAGAGAGGTGTAACATTTTACACACTATTTGCAGACCTTATACTTGAAATTCTATTCTTGGGTATAGCTATATAGTCTTGAATTAGATAAATATAAGTAGCTAGAAAGCTCTCTATCCTCTATGCATCATGTGGTCAGTTATATCTACGGGAATATTATTCTTTGTTCAAATACCTACAACTCTGCGTGGATACTAATTGTAATGAGAAAGATGAAATCACTCAAGTTATATAGCTAGAGACTATATCGTATAATGATAATATTATCTATCCTAAGTTTATTAAGAACTTACTAGATATGAATCCTATGTAACAAACCTACTAGCGAGATTCTACAGATAGGCTGCATATAGAGGCAAAGACTGGACGCCAAGGGTGCTAGTAAGAATATCATTGCTTTAGATAAAGCTAGTAGGTAGATTACTTACAAAGAGTATAGAACAGAAGAGTGATTAGGTGTTAGCTACTAGGCGCCTAGTATAAAGAGCTATGTCTTATCTACTAAAACATATTAAGAAGTATAATTATAAAGCTAGCTTAGTTGTTTTTTGTAGATTTATTAGCAGCGTAGTAGCGTATATAGTTGTGTACTAGACCCTACAGGCCTACTCCTTCTACTAACACACTCTAAGAAGTATAGAGAGACTAGACATAAGTTGTATATCTGCAAGGGAGATAATGAGTGTAATATATAACTCACTATATATATTTCTTTTCTATATAGAATTGTATAATAAGAATATCTACTGATAGAGGTAGGTAAACTTAGTAGAACACTCAACTTAGTTACAAAACACATTGGTTAAAGAGAAATATAGTCAAGACAAGAGTAGTATTTCTCACTTATTAGACCCCTGTTTAGAATGGTCCGGTACAAATCTCTGCGTTGACTGAAGCTTTGCCTATAAGCTCCGAGCTTCCATCCCATCCAAACCAGCTTGCTCTGTACAAAGGGCACTTTGCGTCCATCTGGGCAAGTGCGTAATTGACATCGTTTTCGTCAATATTACCACTCGTATGGGGGGTGGTAATACAATAGTAGACAAAGACGAAATTAACGACAGATCCTACTGAGCTCGCAGCATATGTGGCCGCCCAATTAAATCCACCTGGCTGGCGGGCCCATCGGCGCAGGTCATTGGCTGATTTATCAACACCAGCGTGGTCAAGATCTTGGCCCCAGCAATCCGTCCTGCGCTTCTGAAATTTGGCGCTATAGGTTTTCGGCTTTCCATTGCGTTGTGGAAAGGTCGTAATTGGCTCCATAGTAGCGTTTGTCAACGACTTCCAGAGATATGATCCGTCCTCTTGATGAGTGATTGAGTAGGTGCCATCTGGAACCTCGGGGTTACTCGCAACGGTGATGGGTACAAGACCAGCAGCCGTGGCCAGTGAGATAAAGATATTCGAGAATCGCATCGTGAAAGTTGGGTTGCAGATGTTATATTGCTGCAAAGCTTGTTGTGATTCGGGTGTGTAAACGTAGAGAAGGTTTTAGCTTTGTGCGTGAAGTTCTTTCCCAGCTTCCCAAGTACAATATTTATACATGAGCAATACAATAGTGTACAATCTAACTAGATTTAAGCATCTTGCAGGTCATTTGTTGCCAAGGTTTTCGTATTGAAGTTTTCTTTTAAAAGTAGTTAGATGAATTAAGGTTGTCGTAAATTGTGGATTGTACACTCTAATAGGGCCAAACTAGTACTAGACAGCTAGCTAAAATAGGAAGGAGCTTACTAATTTGATCTCAGTTTACCACAATACGAAGGTAGGCCTGATCTAATGCAACGGCGGGCCTGATTGAACATGATGGTATGCCTAATTAAACGGGGTAGTAGTCCTAATGCGGCTATTATTGCGGTACGGCTCGCATGTGGTGAAGACAGATGCGCATTCAAGGTATATTGTGTAATGACCTGAACGCTCTTTAGTAGAACTCCTCGATAAAATACTAGTGGAATCACAGATCTCCAGTGTCACCAGAGCACCTAACATCTGCGGTATCTGCGTAATTGACGCTTTCGCTATTTCAAACATACATTCATGCGATAAGTAATAACAATTGGCCTGAATTAATAGATAGCTCTTGAACTGCATACAGTTACATTATCGTAGCCCTGCTATTAGCACATATATCTAATTCTAGTCCGTTGCATTATGATCTAAAATATCTTGTACGAAATTGAGTTACATGTTATATGATCGATTTTTAGAGACTACTCACAATATCCTATACAAGTCCATCCGACTACCAGGCTCTTAAGGGTAGGCATGATAATCATAGGATTAGCTTCCCACTAAGGCTTAATACCTAAAGAATCATAGATCGTCGATAGATTATGAGATTTAAGCGATCATAATGTAAAGATGGATAACTGCTGTTATTACTGTAACTATGATTAGCTCTTGTGAATTATTCCCTTTGATAGACCCGTCCACACCTCAAGATCTATTACAAACAAGTTACGGTTAGACTCTTCGCAATTGTGAACCGCTCTGGTTAGCACTTGAGACGGAAGCAGCTTTCCGATCTTTCTGGAGCGATTTCAGCCTCGCAATACAATACAGTTAGTGTGACATTCACAGGGACGAAAGAAGCTTGGTTTTACAGAGGCTAATAGTTAAGGCGTGCAGTGATAATATATCAGACCCTACACACAGGCTGCAGATAAGTACTAGCATCAAGGTCTAGGCGGAATAAGCTGGGAATAGATTTTCGCCGCCAAGGCAACACTAAGGGAAAGCTAAGACAGATTGTGTTAGCAGCTTTTACTTGCTTATGAATAACATAACTTTACCTACAATGTTTGTTATCATTCTTTGTAGACTAAATCTTTATAATAAATAGATTATTCAGAATTATACTATATTAAGAGTTCTAAGTAATAACTGATAGTGCAGATAGGCAGCGGTGGAATTCCAGCTAGAGCTAGGCTAGCAGATTTCACTACTGAAAATTTAGTCTTAGTTACGCCTCTCACAGGATAGAGAGATTTTTTATTGGGTTGTTATGTGCTAAGCATTCTCAGCCCTCTTTCCAAGATTAGGCCGACACTGAAGACAATTACTTAGGCCCGCCACTTTGTGAAGAAGTCCCGTAAGTCCATCCCTGCAGACCTACACCCTTGTTATCGTCCGTACTTAGAGTTTCCTATAGTTTTATTGGTCTGTCTTAGCTACATATGCAGGCGCAAGACGTTCCTAGTCGTATGACATCAACTACTTCCTAGGGATAGATATCCCTGTGATAGTGACAAGAGATGCATGAGTACTTACTTAGGCTCGAGGTAGTCTTCATTGGGCTAAACAGGATTAACAAATACTCGCTTTATTTATAGACTAGACGCCTGAAGTCTTGGTTTTCATTAGAAAGTTATCGTGCTACTAATAGGTTGAGTATTAAATATCAATACCCCCCCCCTTCCTAGCAACGCATTGCAGAACATCCAATTTTTCCCTGAGTAACTATTGCATCTCTCAGCATGTATCTTTCAACCCCTATCTTTCTTGTCTCTTTGGCGGCTATAGCTAGTGCTGCACCTGTAAGCCCAGCTACACCATCCGTGCTCGAAAAAAGAGCGAACTATTGTGGAGATTCGACATTTGACAATGCAAGCTCGAGTGCTTCTCCCTTAATCGCTGATTGTCAAACGCTTTCTTCAAATTTTGCAAACGATGGCAGCTGGGTAAGAGTACTAAGTCTAAGAACATAGATAATTTTATCGATTGACTTCGACAGACATTCGGTCAAGCGCACCGTACTATTGGAACCTACGGAACTTGTGCATTTAGTGTTGTTGGGGAATATGAATTTACAAGAGTTGGCAACGAGGATGTGAGAGATCTGATCCGCGATTCCATTGCAAAGTTTTCGTGGCAAGGAAAGGTTGGGGCCGGTGGATCAATGTCCTGTGGTGGTAATAGAGTTTGGTGGGGCCTCTATCATGCTTAAGAGCCTCATTAGAGGAGTTTTCGAGCCTGATGCAATATTCTAGGCTTTAACTATGCACTATAGTTTCTTACTCCTCACACACCAACTTTTAAGCAGAAATCTTTCATCAAAACTCGTCAATTTTCTATCAGATATAGGGGTAACACGTCGCGAGAAACCGATTTACGCCACCTCTAATGTGTGCAGCCCTCTCGTTGAGGTGCTAGAGGGGGTATTGTCGGTATTCTTGCGACGTGTTCGAAATGCGAAAATCTTCGAGAACGCACAGACCGCCCCGATGACTAATAGGGAGACTACCAAACGAAACCAAAAACAATTAAAAACACCAAATAAAACAACAAAAATCAAAAATCATATATCTAAACGCCGAGACAGCCTAATCCCGCTGTGGCACCATATCTAACCGCCAGGACAGTCTTTGCCTACTGTGGCACAAAATT